GCCACCTCTCCAGCCCCTGGAGTCTCTTTTGTTTGATGCTATGTATGCCAGGCTACATGACCCACAGACTTCTTCTGGGGATTCCTGTCTAGGCCTCCTATTTGCCAACAGGAGCACTGAGATTCCCAATGTGCACTACCGTGTCTAGCTTATATGGGTTCTGGGGATTCCAATTCAGGTCCTTGCATACTTTTATCTATTGAGCAATCTCCCCAGGCCGGAAACAGTATCTGAAATAATTCTATCATATTGCTCTCTTTGGTACACATTTATTATGCAAATACAACGTCCTCGATGGTACTGGGCCAACAGTAGAAAGCTAAGCAGTGGAATTACTAAGCAGTAACCCTGAATCCAAAGAGCCCGTGGTCTGACGCAGAATCTAGCTAGGAAGCAGCCCAGCTATGTGGTATAAACTGCCTGGCAGAACACAGGAAAAAGACACAGCCAGGAGAAGTGGGGTGGGGAAGTCGAGGAAAACCTCCGAAAAGGATGAGTCACACTCACCTCCAGACGCGAAGCAAAGCAGAATCCCAGAATGAAGGGAAACGGTGAACTCTGAATTCATCCCAATCCAACACCCATGAGTTCAAGGCCAACCTCAGCTACACGGTAAATTCGAGGTTAGCCTGGGTTACACCTTATTTCAAACAAGTAACACAAAAACACACTCACAAAGGCAGCAAGAGTAAGCACGCTGCTGGGGCACAGTAGTCGTGGCAGGTCTTCCTGCGGCGTTCCTGGGAAATTTTACTGGTTCAGGAGGCAGGAAAGTGAGACTTGTTGCAGCCGCAAAAAAGGTAGCATTTTCTAATGACCAGACCAAGGTTCTAATTTCACACGGACAACTCATATTTTCAACGTCAAGAGTTCTATTCGTAAAGATTTCCCCGGCTCAGGGTTTCAAACCTGTGAGCTCTACGCCAGCCAGTACCACGCAGCAAAAGCTGCTCAAAACATAAAAAGAACCTGCTTACACAGAATGGAACCGGTACTCCCAGCCCTAGGAGGCAGAGGCAGGGGGATCACTGCAGGCTCAAGGGTAGCCCGATATACGTAGGTAAGTCTCAGGTAAGCTGGGGCTGCGTAGTGAGACCCTGTCTCAGACAGACAGACAGACAGACAGACGACAGACAAAGGAATGCTAAGACAGTCGGCTAAGTGGTCCAAACCTGTACACAATCTCCAATACTCGGGGGACTAAAACAGGATTTTTAAATTCAGGACGGCCTGGACTACAGAGTGAGTTCAAGGCCAGTCAGGGTAATGTAGTAAGACATTGTTCCAAAATTTAAGAGTTTCTGAAAAATAGAAAGAAAAAACAAAGCAAAACAAAAGCAGCTGGAGAGCCGGCTCAGTGATGAAGGGCGTTTGCTGCAGGCCGGGGGTGGTGTCCACACCTCTAATCCCAGCACTCTGGGAGGCAGAGGCAGGCGGGTCTCTGTGAGTTTGAGGCCAGCCTGCGCTACAGAGTTCCAGGACAGCCAAGGCCACACAGAGAAACCCTGTCTCAAAAGAGGAAAAAAAAAAAAAAAGAGGTAAAGAAACAACAGTATTCGCTGCTCTTCCGGAGGACTGGAATCTGAATCTCAGCATTCAGATTGGGCGGCTCACAACTGCCTATAACCCTAAATCTAGGGGGTCTGACGATCTCTTTTACACTTCACAGGCACTACACTCATGTGCACAGATGCACACCCAAACAAACGGTACAGAAATAAAAACGTCTTTTGTCGGGTGTGGTATCAAATAACTGTAACACCAGCATTTAGAAGGTAGACATGGGGGGATCAGGGAGGCATTCAGAGCCAGCTTGGCTGAACAAGGAGTCTGAGGCTAGCCTGAGCTCCTGACACCCTGTCTCGGGGCCCTCTTGGGGCCAGGGGATGGCTCATCAGGTAAAGTGCTTGCCACACAAACCGGATGACCCAAGTTTGATCCCCAGGACCCACATGAAGGTGAAAAGAGAGAAAGAACTCCACAAAGTTGCCCTCTGACCTCCACAGCAGCAACATGGCACGTGTGTGTGTACACAGACACATACACCTTACACACTGTACATACACACCAGAAATAAACTTTTAAAAAGACAAAAGAATGTGCATGGCTCACCATTGCCTGCATTGGGTTTCATGCACTCCAGTCATAATACTCTGAGCCTCCATCACCAATGCTGAGGAGAATTACAGCGCTCCCAGCCCCAGGTTCCTTTCACTTCACTTTAACCTGATGTGCTCCTCAGACTTCACAGCAGTTTTCAAAGAAGAAAAACCATGGCAACGGCAGATTGTCACCGATTTAGAATAATTAGGAACCAACAGAATGACTGGCAGAAACGTGGTGAACATGGCCAGGAGACAGAGCTACGGCTGTGGTGAAGCGCCCGCCTGGCCTGCACGCGGCCAGGTTGACTAAGGCTGGCCATCACCATTCAGATACCAGCTGGGAGCACAGCGCTCTTCCCGGACCAGGCTGTTGAGTGACCTCTCCATTTCTTCAGTCACTAAATGGGTGGTCCTGGGCAAACTACTTAAATTCTCCTCCGTTTCCCCAAATAAAAAACAGAGGCAGTACCACAGTGAGTTCCACATAGTTCATTGCCATGCTAGTCATACTAAGTAACTCCAGAGCCAGTACTCAGGAAGCTGAGACAGGAGGATCTCTCTAAGTTAGAGATCCTCCTCACGGAAAGTCCCAAGCCAGCCAGGGGACTCATAGTGAAGCCCTGTCTCAGAGACTATAACATCCAGAAAGTCTTTTCGACAGCGGTAAAGATTCTAGGCCTTCTCGTTCTCGAGAACTAGAGCCCACCTCTAATATCTACTGTCTCAATAGATTTTTTTTTGAGTCAGGGTCTTACTCTTAGCCCAAGCTGGCTGGTCTCAAACTCCTGCTTCAGCCTCCAGTTGCTGGGATAACAGGTGTGAGCCACCAATTTCAACAAGACTTCTGACAGTGGTAAACCCCATCTCTCCCCAGGACTGGATGAAAAGGGATTCACTTAATGCTGGTCCCCACCTGAAATCCTTTCACGGAGGCTAGCAAATGGGGAAGGATGCAAAGCTGGCCTGCTGCTAGATGCCACAAGCCAGACCTGCACTCCCAGTGGGAGGAACCAAGGAACCCAGGGCACAGCGGGCAAAGGTCTCCAAGAACCCCCGACAGCACAGGTACACTGTCCTCACTGCTCCTCCGCGCAAGCACGAACAGGGGCCCAGAAAGATAGGATCGTCTATTGGCCAAGTTCCAAAAGAGGAAGGCCTAGCAGATACTCCGTTCCCTCCATATTTCAACAGTAAAACTCCCAACTTTCTTCCACTTTGTGATTTCAATGACAGGTCTAGGAAGGCAAGGTAAAAATGTCTAAAATAGACCAACACAGGCTGCGGGGCTCGCAGAGCAGGTGAGGACCCCTCCTAGGACAGGTGTCTTGGCAGATTAGGGTTACTGCAGTCACAGCTCCCTGGGGACACACGGAAGGAAATTCCCTTTCCAGAGCATCAGCTTCCTTCCACCCAGCCTGACAATGGACGCCAAAGGATAAAGGGCCATTTAAAAACAAACAGTGGGCTTGCTAGTCTGGGTGTGTCAGGCCCTGGGTGCAAACTCCAGCACCGAAAACAAAGAAAAACAAAAGTGGGATTTCTTACAGTGGAACACAGCGTTCTGCCGCCTGCTACAGGAGCCCTTTAAGCCTCCCGGTCGCCCAGCCCCAAGTCACTTCCCTTCTTTGCACTCTAGTGTCCACCACGGGGGTGTGGGGGTGGGACGACACACAAAAGCAAAAGGCCTGAGGTTTGGGAGCTCGTCTCCAACCACCCCCACTCCACCGCCCCAGGTCTCCCTCCCTCTCTGCGTCCGCGAGGCTGCTGACCCGCTCTGGAGTCCAAGCAGGCGCCGCTACTACCTTGGCTAATGGCAGCACTGAATGAAAGGAGCCGAGGCAGGCTTAGGATTTATGAATGTGCAGGGGAGGAGGGATATCATGTGACAATAAAGGAGAACGTCTTATTCACAAAAAAAAAAAGAAAAAAAAGTGGCTGGTGGCGAGCACCGTCGCTGAACAGCGGTCGCAGAGCCGGGACCGCTCGGACCCCAGACGGCCCCGCCCCCAGAGCCCCGCGAGGGAAACGCCTCGGACCCAAGAGCGGGGACCCAACCCAACACGCGACTAAGGCGGGAGGCAGCTGCCACTTAGCCCGGAGACAGTGACAGCCCCGGGTCTCCTGGAGGGGCGGCCCGGGAGCACCTCCGACTAAGCACCGAGAGCTTTGTTCCCCTCGGGCCCGCGGGCCGGGCACACGCACGGGCACGCGCTCTCCCTCACATACACGCCAGGAGCGCGCTTCCCCGCACGCTCTCTCCCGCCCTCGCTGCACACGCTTCGGATCCGCCCCCAGAGCTGCCCCGACACCGCGGGGCGCGTGTGCCGGCCCACACGCGCGTGCACACACTCACGCGCGCCGGGACTCCGCGGGCTGCTCCCGCGCTCCGGCTGCTGCGCGGACCCAGGCGCACGGACCCTGTGCCGAGCCGAGCCGGGCCGGCCCTCCCCCAACTCCTTGGTGTTTTTATGAATGAAAATGTGGTATGCAAATGAGAGCGATTCAAGAAAAACGAAATGGCGGAGCCGGGCCCCAGAGGGCTCGGGAGAGGACTGTAGGGCAGGCAGCCGAGTCGGGAGTCACAAAGTCACCATGCACACATACCCATCGACCCCGGGATGCCCCGCGTGGAGGGCGTCAGAGCTTCCGCTCGCGCAGTGCGGGAGACCGCCCCGAGGTCATTCGCGCGCCCTTGGCCCCGGCTGCGACCCAGACTCGCAGACCCTAGGCGGTTCCTGCAGCCTCCCCCAGCCAGGCTGGAGAGCCTTGCGCACAGCCCCGACAGCCAGCAGCACCCCACGCCAAGTTCCCCCGACGAGCCCCCCGCCTGCGTCCTTGGCGGCGGCCCCCACGCCGCCCCGCCGAGCACCCGTGTCCCACCCGCGGCGAACTTACTCGTCCGGGTGTGTTTCTTCGGTCATTTTCCTGTTCACCTAGACGCCTGTCCCGCGGCGGGCAGCCTGGCTCCCTTCATCTTCCTGTGCGCTCGCCCCCCTTCTTCACATCTCCGACATCTCCTGATTTGGTGGTGGAGGGGGGAGCTAGAGATGAAGGGGGCGCTGAGGCAGGCGGGGAAACGGGGCTCCCCGAGCGCAGGGCGAGGTCTGGGAAGGGGTGCACCGGGCAGCGGACGCCCCCGGCCGGCCGGGCGCGGCCCCCGGGCTCCGAACGGGCGCAGGGGCGAGATTTGGGAAGGGGACCCGGAGCGGGAGAGCAGCAGAAAAACAAGCACGCTCGGGGCGGCGGGCGGGCGGCCGGCTGCGGTGGGGCCGGGCCGGGGTCGCCCCCGGGGACCGGGCCAATCAGGGTTCCGGGTAGCGCTTGGCGGCCGGGGGAGGTGCGCCTGGGAGGCGGTGCAGGGCGCCCCGTCCGAACCCCATCTCGCGACTCCACCGATTTACTCCATATTGGATTCTCAGCGCCGCCAACAGGAGGAGGAAGTAGGGCGGAAGCGATGACGTCTTCCCAGCGGCCAGAGGTGGTGGAGTGCAAAAAGCTTCCTACTTGCGACCCAAAAAAAAAAAAAGAAAAGAAAAGAAAAAGAGAGAGCGAGCGAGCGAAAAGGGAGAGAGCGAGAGAGACGAAAACACACACACAAAACACTTTGTCCCGCCTCCAGAGAGTGCTCCGCTCTTACTCCCCCCTCCCGCTTAGCTTCCAGTCCGGGAGGAGCCGTGGAACGTGGTTCGGGAGCCAGGCGTTTGTCTGGCTCCGAATCCTTGTCTCCGGGGCTCCGGGTTTTAGGAAGCCCAAGAGGGAGGGAGGCGGGAGCCGAGGACGAGAACACATCTGGCTCCCGTTTTGTCCCCTCCCTCCTCCCAAACCTTTGGATTAAAAATCAAGTGGGGAGGTGGCGGGGGGCGGAGATGGGGCGGAGTTAAACTGCAGCCCGAGAGTTCGGGCTCGGAGGAACACTGCAGGGTGCCGTGTGGGGGCGGTGCAGGTGGCCAGTGCTGGCCCCAACCTCTCAACTCTGATAGAAACCCAGCAAAGAGGGGGCTGGACTTTGCCAGTGTCCTGAATGGCAGAGGAGGTAAAGTTTCACGAGAATCTTGCAATCTTTTTTGTCGACAGACCGCAAATGTTTTTCTAGCCTGTTTTTCAGAGTGGCTTCGAACTTGTTTTGTAGCCGAGGTTGCCTTTGAACTCTTGATCCTTTTGCCTCAGCATTCCAGGTGATGGGATTATTGTTGTACATCACCATGCCCACCCAGAGCGGGCATTTTTAAAAATTGTAATTTGTACACAGAAAACAAAAGGTACATGGGACCCAGCTGAGAAACTTTTGTATTGAAGGCAGAAATGGAGTTTAAAGGTAACACCAAAATATATGAAATTACCCAGTAGTCTCTTTCCTGTTGGTGAATAGTATCTCTTGTCTCCAGCTCTTTAAGCCCATAGTTAGCAGAAGGGAGACCGGGAACTCCCCATTACTCCACCGGGGCTGTCTTTTTATTTTTTTAAGAATGTGTTGGGGCGGGAGGAGGCTGCGTGCATTCTTGTCTGTGCACCACAAGTGAGCTGAGGCTGAGGCCAGAAGATGTTGGATCTCCTGGAACTGAAGTTGTAGCTGGTTGTTAGCCTCCACAAGGGTGCTAGGAATTGAACCAAGGTCCTCTGGAATGTCAGCCAATACTCTTAACTACTTACTGAGCCATCTCTTCCCATCTCTCTGAATTTTCCTTGCCTTGGCCTAGGGCCTGCCTGAGGTTTTCTGAGTGGACTCACGCAACATCTGAACAACGAACAGGACTGCCCCCAGGACTTTAGTTTGTGTATTTGCCTGGGATCTGAACTTGTGGTATTGAAATCCTTTACAATTTCCGGAGGGAATGCCATGTTTTCACTTTGCACTGGATCCCACCAATTTCAGAGTCATTGAGGTCCTGCCAGGAAGCAAGAGACATAGTCCCTGTCCCGGTCGGCTCCCGAAGACTAATGGACATTTCCTATCTTCCTGAATATGCCATGAGAGACATTTCCATAGAGATTTTAACTAAATAGGATTTTAACTAAACAAACTAGGAGCTTAAATATTTACCTCAAAAACAGAAAGATGCTGGACTGGATAATCCCATTCAAAGAAGACTGAAGCAGGAGGATTGATACAAGTTCAAGTTCAGCCTAGTTTACACAGGGAATCCCAGGCCAACCAGTGCTATTAAGCAAGATCCAGTCTCAGACAAAACCACAAAAAGAAAAACAGTCAGGCATGGTGGGTCATGTCTGTGATTCTAGCATTCTGGAGGCAAAAAGGCAGGTGCACCTCTGATTTTGAGGCCAGTCTGGTCCACATAGTGAGTTTCAGGCCAACCATAATGGTGAGATCCCAGATCAGAATAATAATAAAAACCAGCAGTGACAACTGAAACAAAACCCCTGCACAAAACAAAAATAGACTCTCTTAGAGGTGTATGCATAGAGAGAGATCCGCAAGGGCTTGAAAAATGAGAGTTTCACTTCTGAGTCAGGTAGAAACTGGAGGGTGTTTTGCTCTCCACAACCATGATCTTTGTGGACACAGGCTGAGGTTCCGTACTCGATTCTGAGTGCTGGTCCATGTAGCAGTAAGGACACTAGACCTCATGAATACTTGCATTTTGTTTTTCTCTTAGAAGACCTGAGACCCTGAAAGTGAGGTTTCTACTAATTCTTCAGCTTTCACTGGGATAATAAGCAAACCCCGTCTTTCTTGTTTTTGTTTTTTGAGGTCATGAAGACTATGAGACATGCTGGGTGTGGTGGGAGAAACCATTAATCCTGGCATTCTGGACATAGAGGCAAGTGGATCGCTGAGTTCAAGGCCATACTGGTCTACATATTGAGTTCCAGGCCAGCTAGGGCTAAATAGTCCTTGTCTTAAAGGGGGTGGGGGGTGGGGTGGGAGGGGGGAGAAGACATTGATTGTAGAGATGGATGGCCCAGTGGTTAAGAGCACCGATTGCTCTTCTAGAGGGCCTAGGTTTGATTCCCATTATCCACATGTCCCCTCACGACTGTCTATAACTCCCTCTTCTGGCTTCCAAGGGCACCAGGCACCCAAGTCGTACACAGTTCCACATACAGACAAAACACCTATACACGTAAAAAAAAAAAAAATCAAACGAAGAAAAAGGGAAACGTTCGAGGCTTGGAGGAGAGGTTAATATAATGCTTGCCTTGCCCTTCAAGGACCTATGCTCCATCCTAAGCACCCGAATTTGGTGGCCTGTGTATGTAGTCCCAACACTGTGGAGGTGGAGGCAGGCAAAGTCCCCAGGGCTCACTAGTCACTGCTAACTGGCAAGTCCCAGATTCCAGTAGAACACTGCCTTCAAAAGCAAGATGGGGGGTTGGGGATTTAGCTCCGTGGTAGAGCGCTTGCCTAGGAAGTGCAAGGCCCTGGGTTCTCAGCTCCAGGAAAAAAAAAAAAAAAAAAAAAAAAAAAAAAAAACAAGATGGATGGCTCCCCAGGAAAAATACCTAGGATTTACCCAGCTCCCCTCCCCCACCACCCCAGCACCTACATGGTGCTTGCACCTACATGGGCACACAATGAATGAGACAGCTGCTGTCAACAGGGCCTTTGAGACTATGAGAACCCATGAGTACAAACTATCTGGAAAGGGCATCGGGGGTTTTGTTTGTTTGTTTTTTTTGCCTGTATATAAAATGCAAGCTAGAAGCCAGGTGGCGGTGGTGGCACATGCCCTTAATCCCAGCACTCGGGAGGCAGAGCCCTATAGTCTCTGTGAGTTCAAGGCCTGCCTGGTCTACGGAGTGAGACCCAGGACAAGCACCAAAACTACACAGAGAAACCCTGTCTCCAAAAAACCAAAACCAAAAAACAAACAAAAAAAAGATGCAAGCTAGAATTCTGAGTCTGTACATAGAGACTTCAAGAGAACCAAGCTAAATATTGGCTCTCTGATGAGCATGATTGTAGACATTCTTGAGTTGGGTGTGAAATCTATAGGCTTTGACTAGTCATCTGTTCTTGATGACTAGCCCTTGCGTTTAGACGTGAAGTTTGGGGTTTTGTTGCATGGCCTGGACCTCCCGTGCAGCATGCCCTGGAAGATGGCTGCTTACCCACCATCACAGTGCCTTATGAACAACTGGCATCATGCCAGTCTATTTCTAAAATTCACTGTAACGTCTCAGGAAATATTTGTATTTGTGTTGATTTGTTCCATAGATGTCTTATTCTTTTCTCATTCTCTCTGCCACTCCCATAAACTATAATAAAATCATGTTCCTTCTCAAAAAAAAAAAAGGGGGGGTTGGAGACATTTGAAAATAAGTATTATTTTGTGCTGATTTTGAAATTTTCAGTTCGGAAGCATCATCAGTCTGAAAGTACCGGGCGTGGCGGCATCATCTGTATTCCCGATTCTTGAGAGCCTGAGGCAAGATAATCACTGTGAGTTGGAGCACATCTTTCCAAGCTAGCGTGAGCTAGAGTGAGATCCTGCCTCAAACGAAAACAAAAACAACAACCAAAAAAAAAAAACAAAAAAACGAGTGGGAGCATGCTCTTGTATCCCAGGAGGCAGGAGGGTTAGAAGTTCAAGGTCATTGCGTTCCAGGACAGGCTGATCTATTTGAGACTCCGTTGGTCTTTTAAAATAAAGGGTTGACTCAGTGAGATGGTAAAACTTCAAAAGTACTGTAAATCTGCTCACAACTTCGCAGAAACCCAGCGCGGCTGCCAGCATCTTAACTCTACGGG